ATTTCAGCGGAATTTTTTGATCAATTGTGGTCAAATATTGATCTATTAGATTAAGGGCGATGCTCTGAGTAGGTCATTCAAAATTTTCAGTGTTTTTTTTCTTACAATATTGTTTTTAACTTTAGTAGTGTGTCTGAAGTCATGAATCGTTTGAGGCATTAAGTCTCCAAAACCCATTTTTACGGCATTTAATTCAAAATTTTTATTAAATACGCTCGTGAATTGCTCATTTATTATTGCTTACTCCATTTTCACTAAGATTCCCGCTTTTAAAGTTGAATAATGTAACGATACCGATAACCCTCCACCATAATGTTTAAAACTTGGGGTATTGTTTTTAAAATTTTGTATATTGAAGGGCTTAAATCACACTCATTGTCGACATTTTAAAATTTTCGGTAGAAATTGGGACTCATCTGACCAACTACGCAAATTTGAGCTAAAAAATACGAAATTAAATATTAAAATCGAAAAAAATGTTCATGCTTTTAAATATGTTGGTGAAAGATTGAAGGTATGGGTCAGTTGACTCTTCGTATGTGTCCAATTTTTAACGTTAGGTGTGGGGAACCTAGGTGAAATTTATTCAAAAAGCTCCAATGAACACTATGTGAGCATATTACAGTCAAATCTTAAGATCAGTGCCTTCGAAATGGACTTGGGCAACTTTATATTTCGGCAAGATAATAAGCTTAAGCACTTGATAAAGTTAAAAAATAACATTACTGTAGGAAAAATCGCTGAAAAATTTAAATAAGTTGCTCAGAGCACCGCCCTAAATCCAATAGATTAATTTTGGACCACAATTGATCAAAAAATTCCGATGAAATAGTGACCAAAAACGGATTTCTTTTGAAAATTATCATATGGGGAAAGCAAGGGGAAGGGAAGGCGATTGCGAATAATAATGGAGAACAAAATTACCAAAATGGCTTAAGTAGATACATATATTAAAATCAGAACTAAAATAGATAAAAAATTTTGATATACAAGAAATTTAAATAATGATATATAAAATTTACACTTTATTTTGTCCGACAAAAAAGTGAATTTATTTTAATTTTAGATGTTATACAGAAAAATTTTAAGTACAATAATTTAGTTTTATTGTTATTTTTGTAGCATTGTATATAAACTAAATGATTTTGAAAAAAAATTCCATATTCAATAATCATTTAACCGATTTTTCGCTCAAGAATATAGCATGAGTACTTTTGCACTTTATTTTGTCCGATAGTGTATAATTATATTAAACTTAGTTGTTCCAATTTTTGGGAAGATAGTAGTATATTTATAGTAGTTATGAGCTAAAAGGCCCAAATCGGTAGGTCCGGTTGTATGGGGGCTAGGGCAAAAATCTATTTGTGGCAAATTTCATCATGATACTAGTGTTTATAAGTGAATTGTGGACATTCAAGTCATTTTCTGAAGGGAATTTTGTATGGGGGATAGGGTCAAATAATGCCCGATCATTATAAAAATCGACAGTGTTATTTATAATTATATCAAACTTAGTTGTGCCGATTTTTGGAGAGATAGTAGTATATTTAACAAAGTTATGAGCTAAAAGGCCCAAATCGGAAGGTCCGGTTATATGGGGGCTAGGGTAAAACTTGGTCCGATCCCTATAAAATTTATTGTTGGGAATTATGTTTATATAAAACTCATTTGTGCCAAATTTCATCGTGATACTAGTGTTTATAAGTGAATTGTGAACATTCAAGTCATTTTCTGAGGGGGACTTTGTATGGGGGCTAGGGTCAAATAATGCCCGATCTTTACGAAAATCACTATAATTATTAAGACATATATAAAACTAAATTTGTCCCATTTTTGTAGATATAGTGGATCATTTAACATAATTATCAGGTCAAAAGCCCTATTCGGGGGGTCCGGTTGTATGGGGGCTAGGTGAAATAATGGGCCGATTTCAACCATTTTCAATAGCGTTCGTCCTTCGACCAAGAGAAGTGCATGTTCCAAATTTCATCAAATTATCTCAAAAATTGCGACCTGTAGAGTGCGCACAAGGTTTACATGGACACACAGACAGACAGACGGACGGACAGACGGACATAGCTTAATCGACTCAGGAAGTGATTCTGAGCCGATTGGTATACTTTAAGGTGGGTGTAAGACCAATATTTTTGGGTGTTACAAACATCAGAACAAACGCATAATACCCTCCCCACTATAGTGGTGTAGGGTATAAAAATAAAATTGTCATGAAAATTAATTTTTTTTCAATAAAATATTATGAAATATGTACTTTTTTTATTACGTGTGGCACATAAATGAGCAAATGGAGCTATAATGTTTTGAATACACGTAAGTACATTATAGCCACCTAAAAGTTTTCTTGGATTTTCTTAAGCACTTGAGAGACTTTTCGTTCGATTTTGTCATTAACTTAAGCTTGCTTATTCACATTATAGTTGGGCCTTTAGTTTTTCTTTAATAATAAAAAAAATAGGGTTTTATTTGGGGATTTTAACACGGGGTTTTAGTTTTTGTACGTACCGTACGCCAGGGGTTTACAAGAGTAAGTGAGTATTACAATTTTAAAGAAAGAGAGAAAGGGGGTAAAAAGCGCCAAAGAATTAAAAACATAGAATGGCCAGTGAACAGTAACTGGCCATATACACTGTGCGCATAAACATCCCGCCCCCCTTGCAATACTGCAACAAGGAAGGCTTAGGATACTGCGGGGTAAGATAAGCTGAAAACAGAGTAAAATAAAATGTATGTAGGTATATAAACAAAAAAAGGTAAACTTTTTTTTTTTTCAAAACAACAATTCATTTTTTAAATTCATTGTAACAAAAATAAATAAAAAGGGGTATATTAAACAACGCGCCCTGACATTACGTTGTTAACAATGATTGCCGGGGTATGTTGTTGTTGCTGCTGATATGGCAGTGGTTGTTGTTGATATTGTTGGGGTTGTTGTTGGTACTGTTGCTGTTGTGGATGCTGTGTGCAGCAATGATGTTGTTGTTGGGGTGTGCCGGCCTGTTTTTTGGTACCACGGCTTTTGTTCCTCCTTTTTTTCCTTGGGACTGCCTTGGGTTGGATGTTGATGGGCCTCGGGTTTAGCCCCTTTTTTCGACCTTTGATGCCGTTGAAGGAGGGTATGGTGCTCTGACATGTACTCGATGCACCGCTCTCTGCTAGTGCATTTAACCTTCATGTGGGAATGAGCCAGGCAGTTGAAACAATATCGGTACTTCACCGTTTCCCACCGCTCCCCCACCGACATCTTCCTAAATTTCGGGCACTTCCTCAAGGCATGCTCCTTTTTGAATATACGGCAGTCCCGAAGGATCTCATCACGGGAAGTTTTCTTGTCCCTAGATGTGCTGGGGGCCTCAATGGGTTTGCGGTGGACTTCTAGACGGCGATTTACGGTCGACATCTTACTAGGGGCAAAATAAATAGAGAGAAGAAAAAAAGAGAGAAAAATACAAATTAGTCAATTTCTGACTTTGGCAAGAGAACAAGCTTCACTATGGGGCGGGTAAAAATGCCCGAAGCTGTTCTCACGTCCGCTGTGCGGACCTTGCTGTCATGGCCTACATGGGTTTTCTCTATCCTACCTAAACGCCATTCATTCGGGGGTAAATTATCCTGACGGATCACAACTAAATCTGCTATTTTGTAGTCCCTTTGCGGATATTTCCACTTAATTCGCCGATGGAGTTCTTTGAGGTATTCCTCTTTCCATCGTTGAGCAAACTGAAGATGGAGCACTTTTTTTTTGCCATCTATTGGCAATACTCAATGAGAGATCGGAATGATCGGGTTCAGGGGGTGCCAAAAGAGGTGCTCCTATCAGAAAATGACCTGGGGTTAAAGGGACTAAATCGAAGGGATCATCGCTCATTGCAGTTGAGGGTCTTGAGTTTAGATAAGCTTCTATACGGGTTGACATTGTTGAAAACTCTTCAAAGCTAAATTTTTGCATTCCAAATTCCCATAAGCCGCCCATATGAGGAGCCCCAGGGGGTATAAAATGCCATTCAACTGGCTGAAAACTATTTCGTACAAGTAGTTTTTCTCTTAATTGGGGTAAAAACTGTTTTCGGTCTACTTCGAGTAAATTAGCAGCACCGACAAACGCAGTTCCGTTGTCCGAGTATATGTGAGCAGGACAACATCGACTGGAGAAAAAACGGGCAAAAGCACCAAGAAATGTTTCGGTCGACATATCACCGGTTGCCTCTAAATGAATCGCTTTTATGGCGAAGCAAACAAAAACGTGTACATAACCTTTCGTTATTCGGCAACCTCTACCAATGTAGGATTTTATGTCGAACGGACCTGCGAAATCTAAACCGGTATGGGTAATATCCCTGTCTGGGATATTATGTCGTAAGGTTAAATTTAAATATTTTGTGGCCAGTACTCTCGCGGCTGTCTGAACCACGAGGGACCATGCCACCATAGGGGTTTTTCAACTAAATCTCGAGCAAGACTTCCACGACTTGCGAGATCTGCAGGGTTATCTTTGGAATCAACATGAAACCAATTCTCGTTACCAACTTTCTTTACGATTAGGGCAACTCTGTTTTTGACAAAGGTTGGCCAATGGCGCGGGGGTTTTTTGAGCCAAGATGAAACTATAGTAGAATCAGTCCACAGATAAATCTTTCTCTGTCTAGATTTAATTGACTACACAAGGATTCTACCATATTCGCCATCAAAGCCGCTCCACAAAGTTTTAAACGGGGTAATGTTTCAGACTTAACAGGAGCTACCTTCGTCTTTGTAGAGAGTAAATGTGAAGTGATTTCATTCGAAGAAATACTTCGAACGTAAAGAGCAGCGCCATAAGCCTTTTCTGACGCATCAGAAAATGCATGAAGTTCAATATCATAACTCGGGTGAAAATTAACCCATCTTGGAATGTTAATTTTCTCAATATTCGGGTAATCATTTAAAAATGAGTGCCATTGCACAAGGGTTAAGGGTTTTAAACATTCATCCCAATCTGTATTGTCTTACCATATTTGTTGCATTATAATTTTAGCAACAATGATTTTTGGGGATAGCCAACCGGCGGGGTCAAATAGCTTAGCTATTTCTGACAAGACAGCACGTTTTGTCACAATATCCCGGCGTGGCTGCGATATGAGTCGGAAGTAGAAACTGTCAGTTTCTGAATTCCATCGCAAGCCTAGGGTTTTTGTTGTACTAGCATCTGAAAATTTTAAGAAGTCTGCATCAAGCAGATTCTCACGGGGTAAATCTTCTAAGAGACGTATGTGATTGGCAGTCCATTTTCTCAAAACGAAACCAGCCGATTCAAGAACATGGGTAAGTTCAATACGTCTCCTAAAAGCGTCATCTAGCTCATGAGAGCCAGCAAGTACGTCGTCGACATACATTTGGGTTTTCAAAATTTCAGATGTTAACGGACTTAGGGGTTCACAATCGTTGACCAATTGTAAAAGAATGTGACAGTATTTAGCTCACTTCCACGACTTGCGAGATCTACAGGGTTATCTTTGGAATCATCATGAAACCAGCACGTTTAGTCACAATATCCCGGCGTGGCTGCGATATGAGTCGGAAGTAGAAACTGTAAGTTTCTGCATTCCATCGCAAGCCTAGGGTTTTTGTTGTACTAGCATCTGAAAATTTTAAGAAGTCTGCATCAAGCAGATTCTCACGGGGTAAATCTTCTAAGAGACGTATGTGATTGGCAGTCCATTTTCTCAAAACGAAACCAGCCGATTCAAGAACATGGGTAAGTTCAATACGTCTCCTAAATGCGTCTTCTAGCTCATGAGAGCCAGCAAGTAAGTCGTCGACATACATTTGGGTTTTCAAAATTTCAGATGCTAGCGGACTTAGGGGTTCACAATCGTTGGCCAATTGTAAAAGAGTTCGAATCGCTAAATACGGCGCACAATTCACTCTGAATGTGACAGTATTTAGCTCATAGTCCATTATATCAGCTTCGGGATTACAGCGGTACAAGATCCGTTGAAATTGTGTCTGTTCGGGATGAATTAAAATTTGGCGATACATTTTCTCAATGTCAGTGTTAAAAACGTAACGAACTGCTCTGATATGTCCCATTTCGAAATACTCTCTAATTACAGTATCATACTGTGTTTTTAAATCGGGGTTTTTCAAAAGTCGAGTTTCATTTCGCCTAAACTGGGACAGAGTACTATGTCGAGAGTCCCCTAATGTCACTTTATTAAGAAATTCCCGACGAAAGGGAAGTGAAACTACATAGCGACCATCGGGGTTCCTATAGGTAGTAGTCCGGTAAAGTTCTTCACAATATTCCTCAGTTTCCGACAACCGTGTCGCTTGTGGAACTTTCTCAAGTTCCCAAAACCGAGCAAGTTGAGCGTTCAGCTCCACTTTGTTGCAAAACGATGCAATAGTATAAGGGGGTTCAGATTGAAAAACTTCACCAGTTACTATCCAACCAAAAACTGTTCTCTGGGCGATCAGGTTGCCATTCGGATGCTTTCTAACATCCGAAGTTAAAATTTTTGGATAAACATTTCCTCCTAATAGAATATCCATACGGTATGACGTCGGTCATGGTAATATCGGGAAAACTAGAGCTTACAATATCTCTAAGGGAACACGAGGGCAACCGGCCGGTAATCTTCTCGACTACATATGCACAAATTTTCAATTTGAAACTCGGGTCTATTGGAGAACCAATAGTAAGAACGCACATAGTCGAGGAATTTCCAGCCAAGCAATCCATCATACCAGTAACATTTATCCTTTGTAATCTCCTAGAGATAAAGGTACCTTGCGAACCAGGGTCAACTAGGGCTCTTGCTGTACATCTGAGATGGTCAAAATGGACTATACAAATAGCCGAGACCAAAAGGACTATGGAATGGGGCTTATGGCTCAGATGTGCAGCATACGTATGAACGTTCTGAGTCGCTGCAGAAGTTGATGGGAGAAAATTGAGAGGGTGTTGATTTTGATTACTTGCTGGAACCGGGTTTATATTATGCGGGGTTTGGTTAGATAGGGTTTGAATATGCGGGGGTTGAATTGGTACATTTGTACCAGAAGCTATAGGGAGCTGGGGTGAAATTTGCGAACCTTGACCTTGCGACCTAGGATCTCTATGAAGCAAAGAGTGATTCTTTTGTCTACACAACGAACAAACATGAGTACTTCTACAATTCTTAAAATCGTGAGAAGTCGCCAGACAATTTGAACAACACCTAAGTCTCTTGACAGTTGACAGCCTATCATCTACACTCTGACTCAAGAAGTTAGGACAAAGTCTCAAGGGGTGTGGTCCTTGACAAAGGAAACAACGAGAAACTGTGGGACTCGGGGTAGTGTTTGTCGCAAAACTTTAAACTCTTCTAGAGTCATTAAATGATTTATTTGGGGGGTTAAAACTCGAGTTCTTTTTCGACACAGTATTCTGGGGTTTGTTTTGAACGGGGTTGGACTGTCGAATATCAGAAATAGACTCAAGAGTTTCGAAATGAGCTGTCAAAAAAGCGTCCATATCTTCCCACTTTGGAGATTTTGGACAAAGTTTCTTGGACTGTTCCCAGAGACTTAAAGTATTCTCGGGTAGCTTTGTAGCACAAATATACACTAGTTAGTTAGTTAGTTTGCAAGGAGGATGTGTATACATCAAATCCGAAGAAATACACCTAGGCCTCTATCGGGCCTGTTGTGCGCTCCTTAACCAGTGCCTCAGGTGGGAATCGAACCCACCACCTCCGGTCTGCCAGACTAGAACAGTAACCACGAACCTACCGGAGGCCACGAATATACACTAACATGACGTGATAAAATATTTCAGGGGTAACTTCTAATAATGAAAGATTCGTAATACAATCATTAAGCGTTCTTTGCAGATTTTTAATATTCGGGCCTGTTTCTTGGGTAAGGGGTTTAATACTCAAAAGAGTACGAAGCTGTTCATTTATGAGGGCGCCTTTGTTCTCATATGTGTCAACTAACTTTTTCTATGCCACTGCATAGCCATCGTTAGTCAATGGAACAGTTTGTATGACATCATTTGTGGGGTTTTCAATTGTTCAGCTTCGATCAACAAAGTATCGTATGCTGAACGAACAGCTTCCCATAAACGGGTTAATTCCTTTTCATGGCTACTTAACGAACCAATTCGATGTTCGCCAACAGGAATTATTGAAATATAAGCCTCGAATTCGGCTAAACGATTTGCATTACGAATTAATGTGGACATGTCCATTTTAGATCTTAATAAATACCGGGTAATTTTGACAAAAAGTAAGAAAAATTAGGGGGAAATTGAAACACATTCAATAAATAGAGTAAACTTGCTCAAAAAAATTAAAAAATAAACAATCTACTCTTCAAAATTAATTTAAAAGATTGAATTTTATCACGTATCAAGGATTTAAGGATCAGAAAAAATCGAAATCGACAAAAAAATTCAAAAAAGTCAAACAACTTCTGAAAATAGGGATAAATTTCAATAAATATTTGGATAAATTGGAATTTACGACGTAAATTCCACGAAAAACGGGTTAAAAGTATAAAAATATTAAAGTGATTTTACACGTTGTTCGCTTTTTAAGGGTAAAATTTAAAAAAAAATGGGTTTAAAATATTTCGAACAACAATTTGTTATAGTGTAAAAACACTTTAAATAAAAAGGTATATAAAAAAAGGTATAAAAATGAATAAAAACACACTAATACTGCAAACGAATAAACGGTTACTCACTTCGAATAAAATTATTAATTATTTTTCATTTAAAAATAATTATTTTTTAAATTAAGTTTATTAAAGGGTTAAATTTACGGGTTAAAATATAAAAAATTGAGTAAAAATGTACTTTATCACTTTAAAATACACAGTAACCGGTTTATTCATACAATCAAAATATTGCAGCACTAATGTGTGTGACAATAAAAGCAAAAGAAAAATAAAAAAAAAAAACAACCAACAACACTGTAGCTTTTTTTGTATTATTATTATTAATAATAGAGCCCTGCATGAGTGACTCTATTTGTCACCCACAAAGAGTAATCCACTGCATTGCACTCAACTCATTTTGTATTTTGAATATTATTTACAAAGAGTGTGTACATTTGATTTTAATAATTCAAATTTTTGTTTTACTCAATCATTGCGAGTATTTTTGTGTAAGTGTACGTCTACATTCAAATCGAGTAAGTTAACAACTTACGTATATTAAAAGAATACAAAATAAATATTTTGAATCGAGTGAATCGAGTTTTAAATGCCAAAAGAAAAATAATTTAAAAAGAAAAATAATAAAAAAACATGATATCGCAAATTAATTTAAAAATGAAAACAATGAGGTATATCTAATTAATAAATACTAAACCGTATGATAATTTTTTAATTTATATTATATTTTATTGTAAATTGGAACAGAATTCTAGCGACGCCGTTGATAGCCCAGCATCCGTTTCCAGTGGAACTAGCTTGTTAAGCCATGATATAATAAAAACAAAATAATTAACCAAGAATATAAATTAAGCAATAAAACGGGACGTAGTAATGTATGGAAAATGATTATAAACGACTTAGGTGAAGAATTGTTAAATGTAGTCGCGTGTCGATTTTGCTTTAGCGTGTATAAACATAACAGTAAATCTACTACAAACTTGGTAAGACATAAATGCTACATCGCCACAAAAGATCGGGATAACGTATACAACGTTTTAGTGGATAGTGACACAAAAAGGAAAGCATTGTATATATTTACCAAATGGATTATTGAAAACTGCAGACCTTTTACATTGGTGGAAGATTCCGGTCTTCATGAACTTGTTAGAAAACAATGAGGTATATCTAATTAATAAATACTAAACCGTATGATAATTTTTTAATTTATATTATATTTTATTGTAAATTGGAACAGAATTCTAGCGACGCCGTTGATAGCCCAGCATCCGTTTCCAGTGGAACTAGCTTGTTAAGCCATGATATAATAAAAACAAAAATAATTAACCAAGAATATAAATTAAGCAATAAAACGGGACGTAGTAATGTATGGAAAATGATTATAAACGACTTAGGTGAAGAATTGTTAAATGTAGTCGCGTGTCGATTTTGCTTTAGCGTGTATAAACATAACAGTAAATCTACTACAAACTTGGTAAGACATAAATGCTACATCGCCACAAAAGATCGGGATAACGTATACAACGTTTTAGTGGATAGTGACACAAAAAGGAAAGCATTGTATATATTTACCAAATGGATTATTGAAAACTGCAGACCTTTTACATTGGTGGAAGATTCCGGTCTTCATGAACTTGTTAGCTTCGTTTTGTCCATCGGCTCAAAATATGGTAAGCACGTCGATGTAAAATCATTACTTCCACACTCAACAACAGTAGGAAGAAATGTTTGT